AACTTTTTCTAAATTCTCTTTTTTAGATTATGTAAAATTTTTTACTCTTGATTATTAGGTCATTAGATTTACAATGAAAATCAGAGCTCTTTCAAAATATTTCTTAATCTAAAAAAACATGTAATTTTGTCTTTCACTTTCAAATCAAATGCCTATATATTTTGGCTTTTTTTTTGAGTCTTTTGATTGGAATTTAAAATTCATTGTTGTCACTTAGTTTAACAAATTGGTCAACTTAAACTTTGTATTATTATTAAAATGTAATTATTTTGCCAAAATATTTCATATCATTTCTTAAATCTGGTTTTTGACATTTTTATTAATATATATCATAATTAGATTACAAGTGACAAAATTCTTAAAGAATTTCTGAAAAAAAATAATTTAGATTAAAATAATGAATGATCATTTAAATTTTATTTTTTAATACTTTTTGAATAACATTTAAATTAATATGTTTCGAGAACACTCTGTACCTATCTATTAAAATGCTTAATAAAGTCCATTTAAGAATGCTGCTATGTAAAGCATAGATTTAAATGGAAATATTGGATATAAACCAGAATACCTAGTTAAGATGTAATAATAATAATAAAACCATAATAATTATCGAAAAAACAAAAACATTTCTTCTTAAGTAAAACCTATACATATTGCTGGTCCAATTTCTCAGAATCAGAATGCAACTATTTTTTAAGGACCTTAATATTTAAATTTAGGCTTATTTCAACCAATTGAAAAAAATAAGGTTTAAAATGATTATTAGCCAAATCAAATTATTTAAGTTAACAATAGTTACAACTTATAATCTAAATAATAACTAGAAGAAAACATTACGATTAGAAATCAAATATTAAAGTAATGGAATTTTATTGAAGAATAAAAATAATAAAAGACTTTCAATTAATCTAGTGAATATGAACATCAAAATAAAATTTCGAATCATATCTATTGTGATAATAATAGTAGAGGTTAATACAATTAGATTTTTGATAATAAACTTCCTATAAAAAATTAATAAACAATTGGTTCCAAATCTATAAAGTTTTTAGAGGATGAAAAACCGGAACATTTATAAAAATTCTCATCCATCAAGAGAGAGAATGAAAAACCTTAAACTAATTTTACTACAAAAATAGATAGCATAGTAATCTAGAAATAAACTAGCAAAGAAAAAAATATAGAAATAGTCAATAAAGCTATGTCTGAATGTGCTAGTTGGATTTTAAATTTTGCTGAAAAGGATCTAAATTAATTTTGGAGCAAGGAAGAATCATTAAATTGGTTAGAAAATGATTAACTATCAGAAAAAGAAAAAAAATACAGAATTGATAAAGTCAAACTTGTTATTTAAAAACTTTCAATTATTATATTGGAAAATTTAAAAGAATCTAATTTTAATTCAGAATTTTTTTCGTTTTTAGCTTAAATTACTTAAAATTTTAAGTTCCCTCCAGATTAATATTTTTTTAATTTTGAAATTTCAAGATTAGAATTCAATTCTTCAGGAACTATTAAGAATATAAAGGTTTAATAATAAAAAATGGTACTAGCATTTTTTATTATGATAAGAATATTAGGATTTACAATTTTATATGCTCCATGGACTTTAGGAATAAATACTATTAAAAAAACTTCAATTTTGGAAACAAATTCCTTAATTATTGTTTCTGTTATATAAGAATTAGTTGTCGGAGATTTTAGAGAAATTAAAGTATTAAAAGATAATTAAAATCATTTGAGAAATGAATTAAAAATAAATGCTCGGCCTCAAGGTCCACTAAAAGTACATATAAATTAATTTTTAGATAATACCTGATCCAAAAACACAAGAAGAAAAAATGGAATTGCAAACCTAACTTGAGCCTTTGATATATCCTACCTATACACATTAAGAAATGAAAGATTAATTTGAAAAATAGATAGAGGTATTTCTAATTCTATAAAATATAGTGGGTAGAAAATATGAGGGATATATTTGATGAGATATATACAAAAATAATAAAAATGACAAATTCTTGGCATAAAAATAGCGAAATTTCATTAAAATCAGGTAAGAAGTGGATATAATGATATTGAATATATCGATAAGTTTATTTTAACTGAAATTTAAATTATTAAATTTAAATAACCAATAGTTTAGTATAATTCTTATTATTAACGATTCTTGATTTGTATAATAAATGCAATTAAACGCAGTTTTTTGATTAGAGTAATTTATTAGATATTATAATGTTATCACAATAGTAAAATAGTTTTACGAAGCTGAAGGAAGAGACGAGATATATAAGCTTATTCAATATTGATTAAAATTTATGATGTAATATAGTCAAAAATGGAAAATTTAAGAGCATTCCTTAAGCATTTAATTTATAAAATATCCAAGTGGTTGTTCTATATTTCGGCAATTCCACCAATAAATAACTCCTTAGCCATATACTAA